AGCTGCGATACAAGGATATCTGCAAGCGAGATCTGAAGGCCTTAGGAATGGATCTCAACAGATGGGAAATCTTGACATCTGAGCATTTATCCTGGAGGCAGGCGGTGCATCATGGCCTCTCCCAATTTGAAAAGACCCTTGTCCAGCAGGCCGAGGCAAAGAGGCAGTTACGAAAGCAGCAAAACCAGGGAGCTGGACAGGGGACAGATTGGATTTGTCTTCAGTGTGGAAGGGATTGTCACTCTCGAATTGGCCTTCTCAGCCACACTAGACGCTGTTCCATGTCCTCGATACAGAGCAGGATACCATAGTCTTTCGAGACTGAAGGATGGCATCAATGTTCTTACCCCACCTTTCTCCTTCCAAAGGACCAGACAAGTGGAGGAGAGCCAAGGTTGTCCAGCTGGAGAAGTGCCAGGCACGGACTGGGGAGCACTGGGTTCAAATCTCTACTTGGCCAGAGAAACCGATGGGGGGGGGTAATCAAATAACCCCCCCCCCTTTTGGGAACCTCTGATCCACCTCCCATTCCTCCCAGGGTGGCCTTTAAGGGGGAGGAAGCTACGGCCACGTTCTTCTAACAGGAGCTGCCCGCCGGCCGCCCGCCCTGGAGGTAATCATCAGCCGGCCCGACTTCCGCGACCCCGAGGAGCCCCGACGCGTCTCAGCCTCTTCTTTCCTCCCGGGGATGTGGGGGGGGGGGAGGCGAAACCGGCGCCTCCCTCCTCCTCCTCGTCCAACTGTTTTTCCCTCGTCACTTCCACGCCGGTTGTCGCTGCGGTCACATCCGCCTCCTCGAGAGGAGGAGGTGGAGAGGGAAGGGAAGGGAAGGGAAGGGAGGGAGGGAGGGAAGGGAGGAAGAGACGCTAGTGGAAGCCCGGCGCGTAATGCGGAGCGCAGGAGCGCGACTCCTTCGGCGCGCCTTGGCACCGGCCGGGAGGCGGCGGATCGTGGCCGGAGAGGGGCTGGGAGGCTGAGCAGGACCCCCAGGCCGAGGACTGGAGGCGAGAGAACCGGCGGTGGGGAGGGGGAGAAATAAAACCCAGACGGAAAAAATTGGAGAGCCGGAGAGACGCGCGCCCTGCCTCGCCAAAGCGTCTTGGTGAGACCCTTTTTTTGGGGGGGGTGGGGTCACCGTCTTTCTGGGGTGGGCAGTAGGGTCGAAGCTGGGGATGGGGGCAGGAAAGGGGGGCGACTGTGACATAGAAGTGCTTCCCTCGCTCGGCCGCCCCTCTCCTTTTCGGGGTGGTTTATGGGGCCTCTCCCCGCTTGGCGCTGCGCTCTTGCGCGCTTGGGGCGCCCTGGCTCTCTTTTGCTTCCCTCTGGATCGAGCCTACGGAGGGGTTCTTGGGGGGGTGAGGAAAGGGGGAGACTGTGTGATTTGTGTCTCGGCAAGCCTCCCACTACTGCAGAGGAGGGAAAAGATGGGGGGGGAGATCGTTCTTTTCTGGGGGTCGCTCGTCTTTTGACCGGGGCTGTGCCGGGTCGCGTCTGGGTGACTCTTTTGGACACCTTGTCCAAGTCTTTTCAACTCCCCCCTCCTTGAAAAACATGGCGGGGGAGGGTAGAGGGTGGGGGGTTGGCGCAGGGCGCCCTTGTTCCGCCTGCCAGCCGTCCCGACGAGGAGCCCAGTCTGGCCTCCTGGCGAACACCCCGATTCCCACCAGAGCTCCCCAACCTTAGAAGCACCTGAGCAAGGAAAGGGTTCCCTTCCCTTTTTAGGGGTCCCTCCGATCTGCATACAGGTGTCTTATCTGTCTGCGCTCCCCCACTTTGATTCCAGCCTTCCATTTTCTGGGAGGAAAACTTAAAATACTAGTTAGGCCTGGGGTCATGCATTTACCTGTCTATTCTTCCTAGGGTTTGCTCTGTGTGGGAGTTTGGCTTATTGTCTGCTTCCGAGTTTTGAATTTCTTCAGTTTCGTCCCCTCTCTTTAGGCATTATTTATTTATTCATTCATATTTATTTCTCTGATGACATCCCTTCCCCTGAGCTCAAGGTGGCCTAAGCAGCTCCATCTTCTTTTCTCCCCCTTTGTCTTCCAAACAACCCTTTGAGGTAGGCCAGGCTGAGCGAGTGGGGCTGACGGCCCCCGCTTCTCGAAGGTCAGCCCATACACTGATTTGAACCCGGGTCTCCCCGAGTCCTAATCTGGCACCCTAAATCTCATTCGCCATTCTGGCTCACTGAGTTTCCAGGCTGTGCCTTTTGGTACAGCTGGGCCCATATCCAGTAGATCCGAACCCGAATCGACCCCCCTGAATCGTTGGTCCTCAATGACAAAACAGAGTGATGTCATGTTGGCCGGGGGTGTGTTTTATTCATCCTAGTTTGCCATTTAGCTCCTTCCCTCATTGGTTTCAGTCTTTAAAGAGCTGTGATGTCACTGGGGATTATTTATGACCCTCGGGATGAGCTCATCGTGTCATTTTTATTATTATTTTTTGGGGGGGGAATCTGCTCCAATCAGAAAGCTGCCCCTTCTTCAACTGGTGGGGCTTTCCTTCTAGCTGCAAATGTTCTGTGTTGGGGAAGGGAAATAAATAAAACAGACAGCCAACCACCACCTTTTGAAGAATAATTCCTCTTAACAAGCATCCGTCTGCCGCTGATCCATCTGCAGTCCATGCCTAGAGAGGTCATGGATGGATGGGCTTTCAGACAAGACTGGAATCATAATCCCACACCCTGGGAAATTGGCCTGATGGGTTATAATAATCTTAGAACGGCACAGCTGGAAGGGGACCCTCTGGGACCATCCAGTGTAACCCCTGTCAAGGAGGCCCCGTGGGGGATTCACACTCCCAACCTCTGGCTCTGCAGTCGGAGACCGTAAACCCTGAGCTCTCCAGGGTTTATATCCTGTGTATGTGTGTGTGGAGGATGAGGGCGAAGGGGTGTTATCCATCACATTGTGTGTCCCATGGGCGACAAACGGTCTCAGACCCCCATGAGATTGTAACATGGTTTGGGAGGGGATGCTTGACAAAGATTTGAAGGCTCTGGATTAGGGAAAGGTGGTGTCATGGTTAGTGGGAGATCTCTTATTCTGGCCGGGTGTGCTTTTTATTCATCCTAGTTTGCCATTTAGCTCCTTCCCTCATTGGTTTCAGTCTTTAAAGAGCTGTGATGTCACTGGGGATTATTTATGACCCTCAGGATGAGCTCATTGTGTCATTTTTATTATTATTATTTGGGGGAATCTGCTCTGATCAGAAAGCTGCCCCTTCTTCAACTGGTGGGGCTTTCCTTCTAGCTGCAAAGGTTCTGTGTTGGGAAAGGTTCTGTGTTATTGTGAAATTCTCTAGCAGATCTGGGGCTCATTGTTCCCTCCTCCCCTGATCATCTATGCAGGGTTGGTTGGAAGACCGGAAAAAAGCGAGAGCAGAACCTCAGACACTGCTTTGGCTCAAAGCGGGATATTAATATAAATTCTAATAAAAATGGGAACCATGCAGACCTATCAAAAGGACCCATTTTTCACGCCTCCTTTAAGTACTGTTGATTTCAGTGGGTCTCCACTCGGCAGGACATGGCAGATGCACCTCCATGAATCCCAATGTTCCTGACATAGGGCTGCCCAAAATNTAGGAGTGGATCCCCCCCCCCCCCCCGTTTTCCTTCCTTCTTTCCTTCTGCTCTTAGGGCTCCGCGTAGGATGAGGCCAGATCTGAGCAGAGACCCTGGGATTCTCGACCCCCTAGGCCGGAATGAGGGAAACCCGGATGGCAAATTCCAGCTGGGGATGTCATAAAGACTTCCTCCATCTTATGGGAGGCTGACATGTTTTCTTAAAACGGGTTGGATTTCCTCACTTGGGGATTTCCTTTCTGGCATCCTTGGAGAGTTCCCCCACCCCGCCGATACGCGACTCCTCTCCGGTTTCGTACACCCCCTCGGCTGCAATGAACGGGCTCTCCGTCAGTGAACTCTGCTGCCTTTTCTGCTGCCCGCCCTGCCCCGGCCGCATTGCCGCCAAGCTGGCCTTCCTCCCGCCCGAGCCAACGTATACCATGGTCCCTGAACCGGATCCCGCTGGGAACGCCTCTCCCCGAAGTGGGACCATGACCCGCTGGCAGCTCCACCTAATGGACCGGGCCGATTTCCAGTACACGCAACGGGAACTGGACACCATTGATGTGTTTGTGACCAAAAGCGGCCGAGGGAACCGGGTCAGCTGCATGTACGTCCGGTGCGCGCCAGGAGCCAGGTGAGCGGCCGGGGGGGGGGAAGATGGGTCGGGCCCCAGAGGGCGAGAATGGGGTTGAGGTGGAAACGTGGGGTTTGGAAGGGAATTGAAATTCTCTGCCGTGGCTCAACAAACGGCGCTGGTAGTATGTTCAGAGTGCCTTGCTAAACTACAAGTCCCATGAGGCTGCTAGGTGGACCCACCGCGGTCCGATAGTGGTATCTTTTGATTAAGCCAGGGAGGGAAACTTGGATGTCAACATAAAAAATAAAATAAAAATACAAAGGATCGGCCACCATATTCTGTCGCCCAACCATGCTGGCCAGGGATTATGGGAACTGTAGTCCACAGAGCTCCAAGGATTTACCATAGGCTTAGGGAGATGCTGCAGACACTCTGCCCCCCCCCACAAAAAAACAGAAAGGCGGGATAACGGGATGCTAAGAGCTGCTGCGTACAAAGGAAGCAGGAAATTCCAGTCATGCAACTGGCTGGGCCATCCATCAGCCCCAGGAAATGGCTGGGAAGCTAAACATCCCTCTCCTCAAATTACTGCTCGCGTTGCCAGGTCCCTCCACCCCACACCGATGGGCCGTCCTGGGGGGGGGGTTGGTCAAAGTTTGGCAGGGCTCCCTTTTTTGGGAGACAGGACTCTGCCCTTAAGAGAGGGCTTGCAAAGTTCAGAACAAAACCTAGAACAGACGTCGCTCCTGCCCCCATTCACATCCTCCCACTTCCGCTTCTGTGGCTGTGGCATGTTACCTCCGCTTTCCAGCGGTTGCTTTCTCTGAACCTCTCCCCCTGCCTCTCTTCCAGGTTCACCGTACTTTTCTCACATGGGAATGCTGTTGATCTGGGCCAGATGTGCAGCTTCTACATCAGCCTGGGCACCCGGATCAACTGCAACATATTCTCCTATGACTACTCGGGCTACGGCGTCAGCACTGGGAAGCCGTCGGAGAAGAACCTCTACGCGGATGTTGACGCGGCTTGGCAGGCCTTGAGAACTCGGTGAGCCCAGAGGGTCCCCAGGGGTCCGAAACTGACGGAGTGTGGCTTTTCTTAAGAGGAACAATGTAATGCGCACACGTACAAAATATAAAACTGGCTCTGTGAATTTCGCTATGTTTTCTCGGTTTGACTGCATGACCTGGAATTATTAGCTATGGCCTACTGTAAAAAACATGAGAAGTTCCACCACATTTAGGATTTCTTTTAGGTGAGAAAGAAACAGAGAAATATTGAAGGGAATGAATAAAGACGAAGAAAATTACAGACCGCCGAAAAACGGAGGCCGTTGGTTGTATAATGAGAAAGCCAGTGTCTCCTATGGGGGAGAAAGGGTCAGAAAAGGCCTCGGGGGCGCTGAATTCAAATCTCTAGTCAGCTGGCTCATGGGGAGGAGAGGGGTGTCTGGTTATGAGAAACCTCACATACTGTAGGACCTCTGTATCCATGGGGGGTTAGTTCCAAGCCCCCATGCCCTGTGGGTGCAGAAAACAGCAAACACTATACATAGCATGGTAAAAGCGAAAAAAAAAAGCTAGAAATATGTATTTTCTCCATGTATTACCACCAGTTGCCACTAGAGAGAGCCAGAGACTTGTTCAACAACAAGAGCACATTATCTGGCTCCTTCTAGAGGCCAGTTCTCATAAATACAGTGGTGCCTCTCATAGCAATCACTCCGTATAGCAATGGAATCACTTTGCGATGGACTTTTTGCCATCGCAAGAGCAATCGCTTTGCGATGGCCCCTATGGGGAAATTTCGCTTTGCAATGATCACAGGGAAGCTATCATCGCAAAGCCCCCATTTTCAGCCAGCTGATCAGCGGTTCCAAAATGGCAGCCGGGTAAACAAAATGGCCACCCGCTGTTTTGCCTCGCTTTACAGGCACCTAAAATGCCCGCCGCAATGGAGGATTTTCACATAAGGTTAGTTTTTAATCCCATAGGAATGCATTAAACACGATTTTTGCTGCACCGATTAACATCACTAAGCGAGGCACCACTGTACATTGTAAAAACACGTGATTTCTAGCTCTTTAAAAAAATCTGTAATTTTTTTTTCAGACTGCAGATATGTGAACCTGTGGATACAGAGGTCCCACTGTACTCCAGAAACCCCATTAGTAGAAGCAAATCAGTGATGCGCAATGACAACAAAATGGAAAGGGCTAGTTTGTTACAGCTGATCATGCGCTTGCAATAATGGTTCAATTTATAATTATTCCCCCCTTCTTCTCCTCTCACATCCCTTCTGCCCCTCAGATATGGGATCAGTCCAGAGAATATTATCTTGTATGGGCAGAGTATTGGCACGGTGCCCACGGTAGACCTTGCCTCCCGTTACGAGTGTGCGGCCGTCATTTTGCACTCGCCCCTCACTTCCGGCATGCGCGTGGCTTTCCCAGATACCAAGAAGACTTACTGCTTTGATGCGTTCCCGAAGTGAGTCCTGGCATGGGGAGGGAAGCTCGGCTTGGGAGGGGGCTCTGCTCAGGAGAGGCTGCACTGCATTTGGAGCTCAGGAATCTGTACAGGAGGAGTCCTGTATCCACGGGGGATTGGTTCCAAGGCCCCTGCAGATGCTGAAAAACGTGGAGAACAGTGAACGCTATTTTAGTAGCAGGTATGATATGTAGCACAGTCTTTGGCTCCTTCTAGTGGCCAGTTCTGGTAACATCAGATCCTGGATATGCGAATCAGTGGATACCGATGCTGCGGATAAGAGCATACTAGGGTATTCATTCAGGGACTCAAACGGCTCTGACAAGCAGCGCTGTTATGATTGCTTCCTGACTTCCTTTTCTCTCCCACAGCATTGACAAAGTTGCACGGATCACCTCCCCGGTCCTTTTCATCCACGGCACGGAAGACGAGGTGATTGACTTCTCCCACGGCTTGGCTCTTTATGAACGCTGCCCGAAGGCCGTGGAGCCGCTCTGGGTGGAGGGCGCTGGCCACAACGACATCGAACTCTACAGCCAGTACCTGGAGCGCTTGCGGAAGTTCATCTCGCAAGACCTGGCTGGGCAACACAACTGAGCCACCCCCCATGTCTGCCCCCCAGGCCCCCCGCTGCTCGTTCCCCCCTTCTTTCCAGTGACAGACCCGGGCTCTCAATCGGGAAAGGGCAAAGCGGGTTTCCAGGGAAGACAAGAAGGGAAGAAGGCTCAGGGGGGCTTTCAAAGGGAAGGCGCCTTCAAAGCTGTAAAACGCCGTAACCCTCTGGAGTGGCCGCCGGGCCCTTCCAGGTAGGTCTTTTTCCATCGTTCCCAGCCAGGCCTCATCACAGCGGCTGCCATTTTCGAAGGATGATGATTGTCCCGCGATGACGTGCCCAGGGATGGCCTTGGGATGTCCGCTGGGTGAAACTCTGGAAGATTTTTGAGCATCGTTGCAGGGTTTTTTTTTATTTTTAAGGAGTCTTTCTTGGGCTGCGGCACCTCTCATCCTCCGTCTCTCATGGTCCTGTGTCCGGATCCCATTCCAGGAATGTCCCACATATCCCTTAAAAAGCAATAAGCCATGGGCTGGGTGGGGTGAGCCAGATGGGCACTACAGCGAATAAAGCAACGGGTACCTTTGCACGGTCATGTGAGGGTTGTGTCTTCATTGCCCAGCCTGGAGCACCCAAAAGGCATCCATGCCTGTTGAATTAGGGAACCTTTTCCTTGGAGAACGCGCGACAGAACAAGAATTGTGGAATGTAATATGGCCAAGCGAGTACGCCACCGACAACGGGGATTCTCGCCTGCTCCGTCCATCAGCCCCTGGATTCTCCTATTTTAATTTCCTCCTTTTCTGTCCAGATGTTGCCGACTGTTGGGTTTTCAACATAATTCATTTCTGGTTAGGCAGATGAGTTTTTGAGGTGGGAGACTGGAGGAAATCGAGGGGAAGGTCTCTCCATGCGCCCATTCATTTTTCAAAGAAAAAAAGGAATAAAAGTTTGAAAAATCCAGAATTTTGTCTGCTGAGGATTGTTTGGGAACCTTTTAGGGCTGCCGGGTGTGGAGAGGGTGGCTGGGTGGGAGGCTAGAACTTCCAGTGGATTTTCCTAACAGAGAGACACATTATTTGAAAGCACATCTTCCATGGAGTTACGGTGCTTTCTGATCTCCGCAGTGATTCTAATCCATCAAGGTTTAGCAGAATGGCTTCGGCTTAGCACGTCTTCTAATTTTCAGACCCCCATGGAGAATTCCAGCGGCCTTCCTTAAATGAAGCCACGTTAGAGCCTAATAGACAGAACCAGGCTTTTTTGCAGAAAATCGGCTTGGGACGAGATTTCTGTGCCAACCTATTGTATATTTTTGGAGCTTTTGGGAGAGATGTTACCCCAGGGGCAAAATGGAAAAAGAAAAAGTGATCTGTTAAGATCGTTGATCTCCCTGGCTGGGTTTGGCCTCCGAAAATGATGAACCGCTGAAATTCAGAGGCGTAAAATGCCAGCCTTTTAGGTCTCAATCTTTCCGAATGTTGTACCAGAATATTCGTTCAGGGCGGGGCCGCAGAGTTGCTGTTTTCTTTCAGTTTTGATGGAAGGAAAAACAATTCACATAGGAGGGGGGAAATATCCCCAGTGATTTTGGAGTGGGAAGGGGAGAGCATTCAAGAGTCCATGGCTTTCAACTGAAGGCCATTATCTTATATTCTTTAAAGGCACCCCCTCCCGTCTGGGATGAAGCCACTTTGGATCCAAACGCCAGCCTTAACTGAATCTTCTCCCCCTATCGTGCCTCCGCCTGGCACCCAGTCCTCTGGGTTGTCCCCGGCGGCCTCCGATTAAGGAAAAGCGGCTGGAACAGCCCGAAGCGACCTTAATCCCATGAGAGAAAGCAGTGTGTTTCTGCCAGAGAAATATATATTTTTATCCTCTTAAGACTTCCTGTTGGGAAGGGAGAGCTGGCTGGAGGGGTGCGTGTGGCGGGGTTGGAGCCCACAGGAAACTGGGGTGGGTCGGGGAGCCCTGGCATGTTTGGGGAGAGTGGGGACCCATGCACGAGGTTTATGGCGACAGAGGACACAGTGAAATGCCTCCCAGGAAGCAAAAAAGATCCACAGCAATGCACAGAACAGCTGGCGATTAATTTACACTCTGCACGGCCTGGAGAAAGAGAGGCAGATGCTTTGCCATCCCATAGTACTAAATAAGAGAGTGAAGTACAGCCGGCAAAAAGTTAAGTCATCCGTTTTAAGCTGGTGTGATAGAGTGCTTAGTCAACTCTGCTGTTTTTGTCAAAACAATGAGGACAGGATTCTTTACTTTTGTTTTTTAACTGAGTTTTTTTTTTTTGGCTCCGTGGTAGAGCCCATATCTCTGGCATGCAAAGCCAAGTCCCTGAGAGGAGATCCAAGGGAGGCTCTCCCGGCTAGGGTTTGGATGGAGGAGAGGCCAGGCTGTGAGACCCACGTGATGATGTCGGGGGAGGCACTTCCGCTCACGCTTCTTGGCCTGCCTCGCAGGGATGTTGGGAAGGTTGCACTCTGTCTTCTGTTAGAAACATAGCTCGGTTATCCCATGCAAAGAAAAAAAAAAAAAAAAAAAAAAAAAAAAAGGAGAAAGGAATTGACTTCACAGGGTGGGCAGCTTTTGTAAGGAGTCACATCCCGAGGTTGGAAGAGAGGTGAAACCATCGTAATGTTTCATCTCAGCTCCTAGGCTAGGTAAGGCTGACGTCTCAGTGCTTTCTTCAGAGTGAAACCTTTGGTCCATCTAACCGATGGGTCATCCACTGTCCGAGCTCTCCTATACTGTATTTTTAGGCAGGGTTTCCTAGCCGTTCCTGGGTATCCAGGCTTGGGATCAACCCAGGACATGACTTCCCACGGATCGAAGGGGTCGCCATCTAAGCGGGGATCCCTCCACCTCAGGCGTCCTGCAGATTTGGGTCAGCTTCGTTGCCCTCCCTCGTTACAGGAATTGTCCAACCGAGGGCCCGGAGGTCACTGCGAATAAAAGCTTCTTTCAGCGTTCGGATCTGGCGTCTCCCAAGTCATGGGACCCTTTTCAAGGCCGGTCATGAGATCAGGCCAAATCACATCCACACACACACACACACACACACAGATATACTCCAATGACATGAATTAAGGCTTCTTAAGTCGGAGTTTAATTCCTTCCACGGCTCGGCCCACCCCTTGCAATGCTTGCGACTTCCACGTGCTTCTCATATGAACGGCGACAGCATAAAAGGACCACCGAGCCATCCCCCCACTGTCCAGAAGGAACAGATCGAGGAGGGGAAAACCGGCCAGGTGGGACGAGAGCGGGCGCCGCCCTGAGGACTACTCCTCCAAAGGGCTGTCGTTGAAACCCGGAGGCCTTTCGGTGACGGTAAGGGTATGGAAATGGGAGGAGGACCTAAGACCTTGGGGTGGAGGTGGCCATCTACGTGTGAGCAAGGATGGAAGAAGGAGCTGGGTACCCAAAGTGGCAGGATAAGACCCTGCCCACATCATAGAGCAGGAGGCACCCGGGTCACCTCCCCAGGTAAGAAGATCACCTGCCACTAGCCAGGGAAATTACTTCCACCCAGAGACACCATTCAGGCAAGAGTTTAGCAGGTGGTTAGATTGGCAAGCGACATCCAGCTACAAAGCCTAAGAAAGCTAATTCAGTAGCAACAGAAGGTGAGTGGTGGCACTCAGATGCCTTTTGGCGTTCAAGGATTTTCCTTTCCTAATGATGGGCTGTCTATAATGTACTGGGGCGCCCTGAGCCTAAAAATACCCAACCAGCTGGTATCAGAAGTGGACATTTTTTTTCCTTTTAAAGGAAAGAGCCTAGCATTATACTGTTATCCTACCAGGTAGGGCCGAAATCATCCTCTCTGTCTGATGATCCCACATTTTCTTAACCCTGTGTTTCTTCCTTTTCTTGTCCTGGGTCTCTGTGTATTCCCCCCCCCCCAGCTTCTCTAGGTCATATATAGAATACAGATTAATACGTACTGTATATGCATTCTGTGCATTGCTGTAGATCTTTCCCCCTCTCACTGCGTCCTCCGGCACCACAAAGCTCACGCGTGGCTCCCTATCCTGCCCAATCATATTGGGGGACCCAGTTTCCCGTGGGCTCCACAAGATCACACAGGGCAAAGAATCACCCACTCTTAAGATTCAAAGCCACTGGATTCAAAGCCAACCAGGTGGTGAAGTAACTAGTTACAAGAGCTTTATTACCTAGGACTAGTTACTTCTTGGACAAGCCTTGGAACTGTCAGTTAAACAGTTCCTCTTTAGGTATAGTAAGTCACCGACTAGTTATTTAGACTGCAAAAAATTGGTTTTAAAAAAGTCACCTCTTTTAAGGTCTTAAGAGACAAACAGGGTTTCCCACCCACCTCCTGGCTCGGGTAGTATGGCATTTTCTCTCCAGCCCTAAGTTACAAGGGAAGTATTCTTGGCCAGGTTTCTAGTCCTCATTAATCCTGTCCTTTCTTCTGCTTACAGGGTGTCCACAAACGTTCGCTGCCATCTCTTCTGTACCCTTCTCTAAGCCATCCCTCCCTCCCATAAGGAGACCCACCACCACCACACTCCTCTTTCCAGGATGGGAGACGTCAGGGGCCATCCCTCTTTCGGCTCTGTGGTTTTCCCTTTGTCATCCTATGCCTGGAAGGTGTGCAAAGGCTGGGACGGTAAAGGGAAGCCCACGGGGCTGTGGATCCGGCTCAGTCAGGAAGAGCCAGGAACGCCAGCCCTGCGAGCAAGCACGGCGTCCAGAAGATCGGAGCAAGAACACCGGGACCCTTCCCTGGACTTCGCGGTCCTTCTACTAAACAACACAGCAAAACGGGGAGGCTTCTGGTCCCACAGAAAAACATCCTTACACAGATTCATTCTTGGTGGGCTGATCTACGGGGTCAGGAACAAGATCACCCTGCCAGATCTGCCTCACCATGAAAGGGTCCTTAAAAAGAGGATCCTAACCTCCTTCCCACTCCACTTGGCCCCATTTTTGGGGGTGGCGGCTTTTAAAAAATTAAATACGAGCTCTTATTTTTCTCCACTCTAAATTCTTTCCTAGGGTTATGTTACCAGCCAGCGTACAAAATAAGGAGGGGAGGGGAGAGGAATGCCTTATAGACCAGCCTCAGGAGGCTATGCATGTTTTACTCAGAAGTAAAACACCCCCACACCTTGAATTGAAGCAGGTTGATTCAAGCCTTAATAGGGTGCATCTGCATGGATTATGGGTTGTTTTGCCTTCCTCTTATCATTGCAACACCTTAAGACTGGAAGCTTCTTGGGGCAGAGAGTTTCCTGGGGCTCACTTTGGGTCCCCCCCTTTCTTTCTTTCCTTTTTCTTGTTGCTTATGCCGTAAAAGCGCAACTGCACAAAGAAAAAGGTTATCAGCGGAAAATGGCTTAAGGAGAGCCAGGAAGCACAGGAGAAATCGGGAGTGTCCCTTGTATTCTTATTAAATAAACAAAACAGATTCCGAGACCACACGGTGCTCTTCTGTCCACAGAGATGCCTGACCTAAATCTGTAAAGGAAAACACTCCTGTGAGTGTGTGTTGCGTGGTCATATATATTTCCAGGACCCCCCTGCCAATTTTCTCCCTTCGAGGGATCTC